ATTTCCCAAATATAAGAAAAGATTATAAAGTACAATTAAGCAATGCTTATAAAACAACAAACAATTATGATGAAATGAGGAGTTCACCAAGGTATGTCCTCATTAAATTATCAGATATCCAGCAAGGACAAAGAATTTCAAAGGCAGCCAGAAAAAAATCTCATCTAAAAGTAAACCAATTACAATCACAGCAGACAGAAGCAGAAACCCTGAAGGCCAGAAGAGCTTGGATGAGGTATTTCAAGCCCTAAGAGCAAATAACTTCCAACCCAGATTTATTTATCCAGCAAAGATATCCTTCAAAACAGATAGAGAAATAAGATATTTCCACGAAAAAGACCAGTTTGAAAGATTTATGAGTGATAAGCCAGCTCCAAGTAAAATAAAGAATATTCTTAATAGAAACATAGGATTGGACATACCTAAAAACAGAGTTAAAAAAAAATAGAGTAAACTAGTAGTAAGTCAGTGGATAAACGACAACAAAAAAAATCAGAAAAAGCACTCAACAAACCAACAGATAAAGAAATCAATGATAGTAAGTAACCAATATATTTCAGTAATATTTCTCAATCCCCCCACCCTGTACCAGAGATCAAATTCAGGACTTTGCCCTTTGCCAGCTGAGCTACATCCAGAGCACATCTCTCAATGTTAATGCCTTCAACTTTCCAATCAATCTGACAGACTGGATTCTCAAAAACCAGAATCAAACAATCTGTTCCATTCAAGAAACCCATTTAATCCAGAAAGATATTTACAGATTTACAATCCTAATACCATACATGGTAAACTTCAAGTTAAAACAGATTAAAAGAGACAAAGGTCACTACATACTAAAGGGAACAATACAAGAAGAAGAGGTAATACTGATAAACATAAGCATTGAATACTGGAGCAACTACTTTCATAAAACAAAAACTGCTGAATTAAAAGATCAAATAAACGCACACAATCATAATAGAGGATTTTAACATCTCACTTGTTCAAAGACACAGAACAACTAAACAAAAAACCAATACAAATATTTCAGAGCTGAACCACACCCTTAAACATTTGGACTAGTGGGCATACAGAGTATTCCACCTCTCCCCCTCCACAACAGAATTAACATTCTTTTCAGCACCACAAGGTACTTTTTCCAAAACAGAACACATACTAGTCCACAAAACCTGCTTGAGTAAATATAAAAGAACTGAAATTACCCCTTGCATACTATCTGACTACTGTGCAATGAAAATAGAAATTAACAGAACAAAATTTGGAAAAGACAAAAGCTCCTGGAAAATTAACAACACACTCCTAAACAACCAATGGATCACAGAAGAAATTAAAGAACTTTAAAAATTTCTGGAAGTTAATGACAACAACTGTATAACTCAGAGAAAAGTTGACAGCAGTTCTAATTGGAAAATTCATTTCAATCAATGCTCACATTAGGGAAACAGAACAAACCCAAATAAATAACCTCATGAGAAATATCAAAATACTTGAGAAACAACAACAAATCAGCCCCAAACCAAAACAAAGGAGGGAAATAATAAAGATGAGAGCTGAAATTAATGAAATTGAAAAAAGTATAAAATCAATCTATAAAGTAAAGAGCTGGTTCTGCAAAAGATTATGTAAAATAACCCCTTAAGAAGACTGAGAGAGAGAGAAAAAAGACTCATATAAATGCAATTAGAAATGAAAAAGGTGAAACCACGACAGATGCTGTCAAAATCCAGAAGACAGTCACAACTATTTTGAAAAATTACATTCCAATAAATTAGTATATACTGAAGAAATGGACAGCTATCTAGACACACAAACTACCAAAACTAACCCAAGAAGACAAAAATACAATTAACAATTCAATCAAAAGCAAGGAAATCAACTCAGTAACAAAGAATCTACCAACCTTTAGTTTTTTTAAAAAAGCTTAGGACCTGAAGGATTCACAGCAGAATTCTACAAAACCTTTAACGATGTGATATCACCAATACTCCTCAAGCTTTTCAAAGAAATTGTAAGGGATAGAGTGCTCCCACACTCACTTATGTAAATCACTATCACCCTGATCCCAATTATCAGATAAAGCCCCAAATGAAAAAGAGAACTATAGGCCAATTTCTTTATCAAATATACATGCAAATATCCCCAAGATATTAGCAAACAAAATGCAGCATATTAAAAAAAAGTCGATACACCATGATTAAGTAAGTTTTATCAGAGATACAAGGATGGTTCCACATATGTAAGATTATCAACGTAATATATCACCTAAAAAGCCACATGATCTTATCAGTAGAGGCAGAAAAGGCTTCTGACAAAATTCAACACTCCTTCAGATGATAAAACCTCTGAATAAAACAGGTACAGAAGACCATACCTGAGTATTATAAAGGCTATCTATGACAAACCAATAGCTAGCATCATAGTAAATGGGGAAAGACTCAAAGCATGCCTCCCTAAGATCAGGAACAAAACAAGGATGCCCATTATCATCTTTTCTATTCAACATAGTACTAGAAACATTAGCCAGAGCAATTAGGCAAGAGGAAGAAGTGAAAGGGATACAGTTAGGAGAGCAAGAGCTCAAATTATCATTATTTGCAATAACATGGTACTCTACATGGAAGACCCAAAAACCTCCACCAAAAAACTCTTACAATAACCAACTTTAGCAAAGTAGCAGAATACAATATCAAAATGCAAAAATCATTAGCATTTGTGTATACAAACAATGAATGGGATGAGAAGGAACTAATGAAAGCAATACCATTCAGTCACTTCAAGAAAAATGAAATACTTGGGAATTAACATAACCAAAGAAATGAAAGACCTCTACAGAGAAAACTACAGTGTTCTGAAAAAGAGAGTGAAGAGGATATCAGAAAATGGAAAGATGTCCCTTGCTCCTGGTTAGGCAATACTGTTAAAATGACCATACTTCTAAAACTATACAGATTCAGTACAGTCCCGATCAAAATACCAACAGTGTACTTTACAGATCTAGAGAAAACAATCCTAAAATTTATGTGGAACCAGAAGAAACCCCAAACAGTGAATGTAATTCTGGGCAATAAGATCAAAGCAGTTGGCATAGCAATACCAGACTTCAAACTGCACTACAAAGCAATAGTTATAAAGATGGCATGGTATTGGAACAAAAATATACATGTAGACCAGTGGAACAGAACCATCCCCAGACATATTCAACTATTTTGATTTTTGACAAAAGTTAAAAAGCAGATGTTGGAGGAAAGATACCCTACTGAGCAAGTCGTGCTTGGAAAACTGGTTATTCATTTGTAGAATAAAACTGGATCTTCATCTTTCACCATATACTAAATTAAAATAAAAATGGATCAGAGCAAAACATAAACATAAACCTTAAAATATAAACATTAAACCTTCTAGAAAACCTAAAAAACATAGGAATAGCAAAGGACTTTCTAAAAAGAACTTCAATCTCAAAGGAAATTGTAAGAATCAACAAATGGGATTATATCAAATTGAAGAGCTTTGGACAGGAAAAGATTCAATCAGTAGAGTGAAGAGATGCCTACAAAATTGGAAAAAAATTTTGCCAACTAATACTCAGAGGACTAACATTTGTAATTTACAAAGAACTAAAAAAAAAAAAAAATTAAACCATGTAAAATTAAAGACCCAGTCAAGAAATGGGCTAGACTATTCAAGAAATGAACAAACATTACAAAGTAGAAGAAATACAAATGGCCCATAAATATATGAAAAAGTGTTCAAAATCTCTGGCCATTAGAGAAATGCAAATTAAAACAACACGAAGAGTTCATCTTATTCTGGAAAGAATGGCAATCATTATGAGAGCAAGCAATTACAAATGCTGCTGTGGCTGTAGTGAAAAAGGAACTCTCCTACATTTTTGGTGGGAATATAAATTAGTATAACCATTATGGAAATCAGCATAGTGATTTCTTAAAGAATTAAAACTAGAAATCTGTATGACCTAGCTATCCCCTTGCTAGGTATCTTCCCCAAAGAGCTAAAGTCATCATCTACAGCTTGCTTACCAATGTTTATGGAGCACAATTCATAACAGCTAAATCCTGGAGGCAGACTATATACCCCACAACAGATGACTGGACAAACAAATGTGATACCTAAATATAACAGAATACTACTCAGCTATAAAGGACACATTTGAGGCATTTGGAGGAAAATGGATGCACCTGGAAAAAAACAATGTTGAGTGAAATTAATCATACACACTGGCTTGAATACCTATATGGTATCCTTCATGTGAGTGAAACAAAGTACAAAGAAAGGCATACAAGATGGATGGAAAGGGACAAGGGCACAGATTTCATCCAACAGGGAAAGGTTCCAAGGGAACAATGAGAGGGTTAAGGGGGAAGTGAAGGGGTAGTAAAAGGCGTCAGTATATGCCACGTACAGGAACCTAATTACCCAAATCAATAATAATAAATATTATAAGCCATAACTTGGGCTAAAAGAAATACAAAAAAGATGCTAGGGAACCAGGAGGAGGAGGAAGGAGAGAGAAGAGGATTAAAAAACAAACAAACTGTAGTAAGTACATGTAACTACTCTCCAAGATGACTGCAAACTGCATGAATTACAAGCATGGAAAAGGAGGATGTTAGGGAAGGAATGGGGGATAGATACAATAAAATATATGCACTGAAATACAGTTACTTTGTAAAATTAGTAGGCAACAATACTAACAGAAAGTCTAAAATATGAATAAAAATAATTGTTGTGGACTTTAAGAAAGTGACAAAAACAGCAAAAATGCAGTGGAAGAAACCTGAAGTATAAAAGTAGCTGGGTATGGTGGCACATAGTATAATCTCAACTCTCTGGGAGGCTGGGGTAGGAGGATCCCAAGTTCAAGATCAGCCTGGGCAACTTAAGTGACTTAGGGAGACTCTGTTGTAAAATAAAATTTAGGCAAGGGTATAACACAATGTAAAGTCCCTGGCTTCATTCATTACATATTATGTACTCACATCCAAAATTGTAGATGTCAAGCCAGGAGTGAGTGGTAGTGCATGCCTACAACTCCAGCATTCTGGGAGGCTGAGGCAGGAGGATGGAAAGTTCAAGTCCAATTTGGGCAATATATTCAATTAGTAAGACCCTGTACCAAAAAATAAAAAATAAAAGGCTGGGAATGTAGTTCTGTGAAAAGACTCTGGGTTCAATCCCCAGTATTGGGGTGGGGGAGCATAAAATTTAAGATCTCATTTATGAAAATGTTATAGAGTAATGCTCACCTAATTTCTATGCATGTGGTTATATAATAACTATTTTAAGAAAAAAATTAAACCTGACTACTTTATGTTGCCTGAAAACAGAAATTTAATAAATGTAATGTGAAAAGAAAAGATATGTGGACATAGCCCAGTGCAAAGGCCATGATTCAATCCCTGGTGCCAAAATAAAATAAAACCAACACACACACACACACACACACACACACACACACACACACACAGGAAACAATTTGAACTTCTATCAACAAATGCATGGATAAATAAAGCATTTATCTTATCTACTATATTTTGGTAGTGGGTACTAAACCCAGAGCCTCCAATGAGCTAAATCCCAACTCTTCTCTGCCTTTCCTTCCATTTTGAGACTTGGTATGGCTAAGCCACTAAATTGCCCAGGCTGGGCACAAACTTGTCATATTTCTGCTTCAACCGCCCCAAGTACTGGGATTATACACATGTGCCATGACACCTGGCTACTGCACCCTATTCTTGTGCCACCTACCTGGGTCTGACTGCACCAGGTAAGCTTGTTTATCTTTGAGGACAGCATGGTTCCTTTCCAGGTATGCCGGAGAAGAAGATAGCGGCCAGAGTGACAGGACAGACAAGCTCTCACTGCATCTGAAGATTAAAGCCACACCACTGACCAACTGACAGGCTGCTACAGTGACTAGGATATGCCATGAAACCAGTTAAAAGAGGTTGTGCCCAAATAACTGAAAAACATCTTTGCATTCCCAGAAAAGATATGAAAATTCTTTCCCCAATTCTTTTTCCCACTGTTTATTTGTTTTGCGATACTGACACTGAACTCAGGGGCACTCTACCACTGATTCATGTCCCTAGCTCTCTTTTTTTTTTTTTTTTTTTTTTTGAGATAGTCTCACTAAATTCCCAAGGCCAGCCTGAAACTTCCCTCAGCCATCCTATTAGCAGCTAGAATTATACGCCTGTGCACTGCACCTGGATTTATCTACATCTGTAACTTTCCAACCCTAACAGGTTGAGAGGCTAATATGTGAATTTTATTTTCCACTCATCCTTTTGCTTTTTGAGACAGGGTCTCACTATGTCATTCAGACTGGTCTTGAGGTCACTATGTAGTCCAAGCTGGCCTTGAACTCCTGACAATCCTCCTGCCTCAGCCTCCCAAACACTGGGATTGTAAGTGTGCAACACCACTCCTAGATCCCACTTATCTTATCCTTGATAAAGAATAAAATTCTTCCCCATTAATTTTTATTGGTACATTTAAAGCTAACAATACAGTTACACTTATCATTGGGATCTTGTACCTTTACATGGTATGTCTTGGTCCTTATTATTTCCCATACCTATGCCCTCCCTTCACCTTTCCTATTTACAAAGACTCTGTTTCCATTTTCTCCTTTTGTCACATTTTTTCTTTTCCCTTATTTCCTTTTCCCTCCCATTTAGCCATTTTTTTCTATTTCAGACTATCAATTATACTATTGGAACCTTATTTACACTTTTAGTTTTTCACACCAGAGAAACTATTTGGCATTTACTCAAATTTGTCCAATTTATTTCACTTAAGAGTATGGCCTCAATATGCATCCATTTAGCTATGTTTTTAGTTTCCTATTCTTTATGGCCAAGTAGTACTCCATTTTATAGAAAAACCACATCTTCTTTATCCAGTTTCCAACTGATGGGCAAATGGGCTGTTTCCAAGTTTTAGCTATGACAAACTGTACCGCTATAAACATAGGTGCGCATATATCACTGTGGTATGATTCTTTTTAATTCTTTTGGAAAGATACCCAGTAGAGGGATAGCTAGGTCAAATGGGACCTCTAATCCTAGTTCTCTGAGGTATTTCCATATTGATTTCCACAGGGGTTGCACCAGTCTGCACTCCCACCAAGGATGATGCAGAGGTGCTTTCTTCCTGCACCCCGCCAGCATGTTATTGGTTGATTTTTTGATAGCAGCCATTCTTTCTGGGGAGAGGTGGAATCTCAAGTGTTTTCATCTGGATCTCTTGAATGACCAGTGATGTTGAATATGTTTTCATATGTTTATTTGCTGCTATTACATCTTTGTCTGAGAAACATCTTTTCATTTCAGATGCCCATTTTTGAGACAGGTCTTTGTATTTGGGGGGGGTTCTGATTTTTTTGAGTTCTTTATATATTCTAGATAGTTGTCTGAGGGGTAGCTGGTAAAATTTCCCACGTTGTAGGTTGTCTCTTAGCTTTGTTGATTTCTCTTGCACTGTAAAAGCTTTTTAATGCAGTGAGATCGCAGTTGTTCTTTGTGCAAGTTCTTGTGTTGCTGAAGATTTGTTCATAAAGTCTTCTATTCCAATGTCTTCAAGAGTTTTACCTAATTTACTTGCCAGTAAGTTTTGTTTTGATATTTGGATCTTTAATCCACTTGGATTTTAGTTTAGTGTATGATGAAAGACAGGGATCTACTTCAATCTTTGAAGCTGAAAGCCAGTTTTTCTAACACCATTCATCAAAGAGGCTATTTTTCCTCCAGTGAGGATGGTTGTCTCCTTTGTCAAAGATGAGGTAGCTGAGTATGTCTGGTGTTGTTTCTCCATCTTCTAATCCATTCCACTGATCCTTGGGTCTGTTTCTTTGCCAGTAGCATGCTGTTTCTATCACAGTGGCTTTGTAGTGTAGTTTCAATTTGGGAATTGTGATGCCCCCTGCCACATCTCTGTTGCCTAGAATGGTTTTTGCTATTCTAAGTCTCTTCTGGTTCCAAATGAATTTTTGGATTGTTTGCTCAAGTTCTGTGGAATGTACTGTTGGGATTTCAATCAGGATTGAACTGAATCTGTATTGAAGTTTTAGAAGTATGGCCATTTTCACTATGTTGATTCTGCCTACCCAGGAGCAGGGGATACCTTTCCATCTTCTTTTATCCTCGTCTATCTCTTTTTTCAGTGCTTAGTGTAGAGGGTTTTTTTCTTCTTCGTTAGATTGATTCCTAGATACTTCATTTTTTCGGATGTTATGAAAGGAATTGTTTCCCTAATTTTTCTCTCAGTGAGCCTGTTATTTGTGTACAAGAAGGCATTGATTTTTGAGTGTTGACTTTGTATCCAGCTACTCTGTTGAATCTGTCAGTTAAGTCTAGCAGTCTTTTGGCAGAGTTTTTAGGGTCTTCTGTGTAATCATACCATCAGTAAATAGTGACAGTTTAACTTCTTCCTTTCCTATATTAATTCCTTTTATTTCTTTCTCTTGTCTAATTGCTGTGGCTAATATTTCTAGAACATAGTGATAGTGAACACCCTTGTCTTGTTTCTGATTTTAGCATGAAATTTTCAGTTTTGACCATTTAGAATGATACTGGCTTTTGGTTTTTCATAGACTTTATCAGGCTGAGATAAAAACACCTCTTCCAATTTTTTGTAGGGTTTTAATCATAAACGGATGAATTTTGTCAAATGCTTCTTCTGCATCTACTCAGATGATGATACATTTTGTCCCTGACTCTTAATATAGTGTATTACATTTATTGATATATGTTACGTTGAACTATCCTTGTATCCCTGGGATAAACCTGACTTGGTCAGGTTATATGATCTTGCTGATCTACTCTTTTCTGTTTGCCAGTATTTTATTTGAGGATTTTTGCATCTATGTACATTAGGAAGATTGATTTGTACTTCTTATTTTAGGTGGCTCTTTCCCTGGTCTTGGAATCAAAGTAATACTTGATTCCAGGAATGAATTTGGAAGTATTTCTTCCCTTTCAATTTCACTGAAGAGTTTAAAGAGTAGTGACAGTAGTTCTTCTCTAAAAGCCTTACAGAATTCAGCAGTGAAGCCATCAGGACTTGGGCTTTTCTTTGTTTGTAATGTTTTAATTACATTTTCAATTTCACTGAATGTAATTGGGGTATTTAGTCTTTTTCTATCTTCTTGGTTCAACTTTGGAAGTTCATATGTATCTAGGAATCTGTCCATTTCTCCTGTATTTTCCATAAAATTCTTCTTTGATGTTCAACTGGTACTCAATTGTGGGGACCAGGTGTGAGACTGAAGTCTGTGTTGAATTCTTTTTCTTTTTTTTCTGGTACTGGGGATTGTACTTGGGCCCTTGCACTTGTGAGGCGGGCAGTGGAACCACTGAGTCAAATTCCCAGCCCTGAACTCTCCTTTGAGACATGTGGGTAGGGACTGCAAGCCATTCTCTCCCTTGGGTCTGTTTGCTAGAGTGTCAGTTCCAGCCAGTTTCAAGTAGAGGACTAACTATAGCTGAGGTCTGATTAAAAGAATATACACATTTGGGTGCAGTCTACAAATTATGAGAACCTGATAAATTTCTCTTGAACCCTGGATCATATGTGTGCTTGGTTCTGGTTTGTGCGAGTCTAATAAATGTGAGGAGGGCTGTTGGACTGGGGGTCTTTATCTACTAGAGTCAAGAATCCCCTGGTTCTCCTCTTCCAAATCATCTTTGTGTCTTTTGTTTTTAGTCTTCCTTGGTTCCCCAGTTAGGGATAAACTCATAGGCTGGTTCCTACTCTCAATCTTATTAGTTTCACAATTCTGAGAAAGAAAAAGAACTCAGTCTAGGGTTAGAAATTGGTATACTATATATACAATGGAATATTCAGATATAAGAAGGATAAACATCTACTCCTAGATATTTAGGAGGCTCAGGAGGATTGCTTCAGCCCACGAGTTTAGGGCCACCCAGGGCAGCACAGCGAGGCTAATTCCAAAACAAAGCAAATGTAATGAAAATCTGACATGCACTACAA